GGCATAAAAGATAAAAATTATTTATAGTACTAACACATATACTATAAATCTCAAGTATAACTACTCGTTAGCTATCAATCTATTTACGTAAGCAGATCCGTGTTGGCTTCACGTGTGTTAATCAACTTGTAAACAATCAAGACATGACTTGCCCAAAATAGAAGGTGGTACAGGTGCTAATCCTTTGTTGGGGGTGAGCCAGAATCCTCACTTTTTCAAAATGAAAACAAAATGAAAAAGCTACGGTCGTCGTATCAGTTTTGTTGGTCAAAGGATAGGGAAGGTTGCTTGCAAAAACTAGTTACAAAGTAAAAGAAAGTTAAAGTGTTTGCCCCAGTGCAAAACACTGTTTGTTGTTTCTTTTTTTTCTCTACTACTTCTTTTCTTCTCCTTTTTCTTTAAAACGCCATAACATAAACTTTCGGCCAAAATAATAGTATTATCACCTGCTAGGTCTTTATGCCTCTTATGTAAAGTATACTGGGCTATGCAACTCGTACTTCTATTTAATAACTACTATTTTACTGGGTTTCTTAAAGTTTTAAATTATTTTGTATTTAAAAAATATCTGCTCCGTAACAGTTTAGGTGATCAGTAGAAAGAGTTCCGCCTGCTATTTTATTACTAAATTCAAAAAAGATTAATAATAATTAGTTAATACTTCAGTTTTGCAATCCTTTTTTTCTTTCAGTCATAAATTCGAAAAAGATTAATAGTTATCTTATATAGTATGAACTAAAAATATCTGGCTTCGAGAAGGAGAGATCAAAAAGTAATATGTACTCTACATATATAATAATTAATTAAAGAAAAAATTATATAAGCAAGTAATAGTGTGACAGTTAGAGCTAATATCATAGTTAGAAAAATAAGAAGTGATAAAAAAGATACAATCTGTAAATGTTGTGGTCATGAATGTTCAACACCTCAAAAACTTCATGAGCATCTTAAGTGAAAAAATCCATGCAAACCATTACAGAAGCAGAAGGAAGTAGTTTCTATTCAAGTGCCAATTTAGATGCTTATTCAAAAAGCTACCCAATAGGCTATCCAAACTTCTGAAATCAAAGCATAGGGAAAACCACATGTTGTAATTCCAATTCTAGTTCCTGAGCTAGAATCTGAAAAGGAAGCTCCAGTACTTAGTAATGACTATATCACAGAAGAGGAGGCAAAGAACTAGGTCAGTTCAAATATACGTAAACCCAGAGAGTGAATTAAGACATAAGGTGTAAGATTACAAAAACGTTAAAAAGAACTTGATCTAGGTAATGAACTACTTGAAGTAAATGATCTAGATAGTTGTAAGACTCTTTTCTATGATCTAGAACAATATGATCCTAATGCAGTTCGCCCACCAACTTTAAAAGAGTTAGAGGAATATGAAAAAAGAGAAATAAAAAATAATAAATCTAGCTACTCTGAAGCATTCCATCAAAGCAAGAATTTAATTAATAAAGAATTTGA